CAAATAAAAACAAAACACTATGAAAGTATAAAAATATTTTTATAATGAAAATAACAGTAATACACTTTAATATAAAAAAATGACCAATACATTTTATCTGTATTTTGAAGACAAACAGTTGCGTTCAAAATTTTATTTATGTACCAGTAATAATTTTTTATATAAAAATCATCAACATAAAAGAAGCTTCATGGTATTAATCCATATAATCACCTACAATTTCTCAAAGAACTCAAATTGTATTCCAAAATATAACTTGAACAAATCTACAACATAAACATACATATCACCGCATCTAGCAATCATGTCTACAGAAACATGTATGTGCACAAAAGCTGAGTATCGTCTACCATGTATCGAACTGTGGAAGTAGAATAATTGTTGAAGCTTGGATAAGCATGCAATAATAATAATACAACACAAAATGTACGTAAACAAAATGTATTGAAACAAGGAAAAGGTACACAATATTTACAGTTAGTTTTGGTATATTCTTGGGAAGACTGTTCCTGCAGAATGGGTTGACTTAATCGCAGTCGGGCAGAGTCTCTCGATTGGATATCTTCTTACTTCTCCCTCGTCTTCCGGTACCAACCCATATTTATATCGGTCGGTACTCCACTATGTAAATTAGATGGATCGTACCACAACAATAATCTATATCGTTTTTTTGTTATTTCTAAGCTCCAAAGAAAATTAAATTTTGATATTAAATGACCCACAATATATATAAGGCTGCACGATATTGATTTGTAATAAAACCACGTATGATTCCAAAAGCAGGCGTCAAATATACGTAAGACAAAACACAAATGTCAATATTTCAAGATACTTTTGACATTTTTAGAAAATCCATTAATTGTCTAAAAATTTTGTTCATATTTCCGGTGCTAAAATCCCATTATCAGATATAGACAGGGAGGCGAACCATTGGCTTAAAAAGATAAGTAAAGTTTGGATTAACGTGTTAGCTTCCTGTGGTTTAGTTGGAAGAAGTTTACTTCGGCTAAAAGATTGATTTTCTTGATAAGCAAAAAAGCGTATATTTTTAATTAGACTTCTTTATTTAAAGTCCGATTGACATTAATTTCACTTTTTAAAAATAACTGGCGTAAAATCCAACACGTGTATCCGATGGAAATAACCTTTATAGTTATAAGAAATAATTTCAATAAAAAATTGACTTTAAAGATAAATGCATGCATACGAAAGGAAAGATATAAAGCTTATATATTAGAATAAAAGTTGGTATATGAATGAAAAAAAAAATGAAAAATAACACTTCTTCGTGACACATTTCATTCCGATAAGAAACTTTTTTTTAGACAAATAACGGTTCTTTTGATGAAAAGTTTTATATATTAAAAAGTGAAGGAGTGAATATACAATACACGCCAGTAAGATTTTACATTAAAACGTTAGATTGATTGATCCGTTTCTATGGCTTATCAGCCGTTTTTATGCTATTTAAAGCCAGAAAATATTTTTAGATTGTAACAATTTTTTTTGAGATAACGGTTTAGAAATACAAGATTTACTAATTAACCTATAGCTGGGGGAGAGAAGAGGTGCTTTCATACCTAATCAGAATTTGGTAAACAAACGAGAAATTCTAATGTGGATATAAAGTGGGGTCAATTCTATATAACAATCAATATATAAACTGATCCTTTACGTTGTGGATACGGTATTTTCTATAGATTTATATTCCACAGAATGCGATATATAATGTTTATATGTCAAGAACAGTTTTGGAGTAGATGTACGACAAAGAGAAAAAAGTTTTCGTCCCTTAGATCTTCATTGGAATCGGTTTGTTTATGGCGATGCGGCTACACATGCACACGAACGAGAGGGGCTGGTATTTTTAAAATTTGATTTATTTTTAATCCGTTTTAAATATATAATCTAGTCAATTTCATTTAGATTCTTTTTGCAATTTGTTTCAATCATCGTTATTATTAAATATCCACATTATGATGATCTGACAAGAATAGTGAAATGTTATAAGAACCTCGAGGCAGATTTACTCTGGATGATCTACTGATTAAATGACTCTCTAAATATTAGTGAATTATGTTCTCTTTTAATTAGAGTTGCATTTTTATGTCAAAATTGTGGCCAGTCTCTTTACGATGATCAAGTAATACTTCTAGTGTGTTGTTTTTTTTTTTAAATATCACTGTTATTTAAACTTCTAGAGGTTTCTCCAGTATACTCTTTCTGTCAATCATAGCAGGTGATAGAGTAAATTCAGCCTTCAAGTTTTGGCTCTCTTGTTTTGTTTTGTTTTGTATTAAGTCTTTTATTGTTTTAGATTTAGTTTTGACAAATTTCATGTTGAGTTTAGATAATTTTTTTTCGATTTTAGTTGTAATAGAGTTAGTGGGTAGAACAATATATTTTTTGATTCGTTGTATTTGTCAGGACAGGCCGCTTTTCCATTTTGGAATATTTTACAAGCCTTTTGTTTCGCATTGGATATGAAATTGTTAAGGTATTGGAAGGTCTTGAAAGTATTTTCAATATATTCCTCCACTTCGTATAAATATTCAGGACTTCAAATTCGGATTTTATTTTGTTGTTATGATGGGAATAGAAATTTTTGAGATCATGTTTATTTGGTTAATTTTTTTTGGTGGGGGGATACTAAGTTTTAAGCTGCTATCAATTTAGTTTTTATCCCATTCATTATTAATATTAATAGTATTAATATTAATTTTGTAAGGAAAGTAGATATATTCTATGATGCTGGGCGCAATTTTTTCACAGAGGGTGCCGAAATTAGGGTACTTTCAATACATACCTTAATAACTTACTCTCTTTTTTTAATTAAAACCGCATTCGAAATTATAGTCAGACAAATTATGATGAACGAATAATACACGAATTGTGTTGTCTTACAAAAGTTCCCTTATGTGTCTTTGCATATTTATTCCACCTCTACAGCGGAACTGGAGAACATACCAGAATTTAGTATCGGTAGACGTAATCTTAACAATATACGATACGCAAATAAACTTGCATTGATGGCCTACTCGGAAAGAAGACGACCGGAAATTTTAGACAGTAATAAAAGAAAGTGAGAAAAAATGACTAACCATCACGAACGAGAGACGCTGGGAATTTTAAATTTATTTTTTTTTTAAATCTGTTTTAGGTATATAATCTAGTCAATTTCATTTAGATTCTTTTTGCTTTTGTTTTCATCATTATTAAATATTAAATATCCGACATTGTGATGATCTGATAAGAATGGTAAAACGTTGTAAGAACCTGGATGCAGTCTCGTTACAGTGAACAACTAATTCCTCTAATGTGTTGTTTTTTGTTTTCAAATTTCTCTTTTGTGTTCATATAATCTGTTATTTGAACTTCTAGATGTTTCTCCAGTATATTCTTTCTGTCAATCATAGCAGCCTTCAAGTTTTGGCTGGTTGATAGAAAGGAGGATCATAAGCAAGAGGAAAAACCCAAGATGCGAATTATTAACTGGAGATGTCAACATCATGCAAGTTCAGAAATTTAAATATCTGGGAAGTGTTTTAACAAAGGATGGAAAATATGACACCGAAATCCGAAACATGCGTTGGACTAGCGAAAGAAGCATTGCAGAACCTAAGCAAAATAATGAAACACGGAAATCCTTTCGTTAGAAACAAAGAAAAGGGTGTTGGACTGCTATGTGATATCCATCCTCATCTATGACAGTGAATGCTGGACAATCTCCCCATAGAAAACTGAATAGTGGCTGAATAGAAAACTGGAACCAACATAAATGTGATTCTACAGAAGGATACTGAGAATTACATGGATGGAACGAGTTAGGAAGTCTTAAAGAAAATGGTAACAAAAAGAATACTTATACTCAAAATAAAAAAGAAACAGTGAAATTTCTTGGACATATGACGAGGAAAGTGGGTTTGAAAAGTTTAACCTTAACATGGCATATTGAGGGTAAGAGAGACAAAGAAAGACAGCAGACTCCTTATCTGACGAGTTTATGTAAATGAATGGCGGAACAGGGACAGAAGCCTTAGCAAAAGAACTACAATGGATAGGAAGTTGTGGAGCGCCATGAAGAGACAGAGCACGTAGAATAAGAAGAATAGTCTTATAATGTTTTATTTAAATTTACAGATACCTGACCAAAATATATTTCATGGGATGTATTTCCAATCTCTTTTATAAATTCTCGAGTCAGCTTTAATGTTGTTACTGTTTCTTTTATATTGGCTAAACCTCTTATTTTTTTATTGCTACTTCTAAATTAACATCTATATACATTGGATGTCAACATTTAAATTTAAGATTTGAGCGTCTCATTTGTTGTATTTCTCGTCCGCCAAAATTACTTTCTCTCTCTTTTGATACATAAGATTGTTTCCCTCAATAAAAACGTTCGCTGAAGAAGTCCCTTCTCGGATCGAAACGCGTCAATTTGAAATTGTTTGCAATCTTATCAATAAGTGATCTACTTAACACACACCCAACCCCACACAGAATCATGCTTTAAATTTCATTTAATTTGAACCGTTAATCTTCTATGTAAGTCAATAAACATTAATATTTCTTACTTTGAAACATTAATCTAGTTTTCAAGTTAATAAAAACTGCATTATTGTCATTTAAAAGTGAGTACATTTTGGGGGAACATCCTGTACATACAGGGTGTTCGGACAAAACTTGACAGTTTTTTTAAGGGCAAACAAAGTGAATATGTAAGCCCCAAATTAATTTATTGGAAAAGATAGAAAAGTGGTATACAGGTTATAATAATCAAAAGACAATTCACTCACAGAAGCCACCCTCAGCATCTACCACAGCCTCGATCCAACTCCGTAATCTGAAAGACAAAAATTCTTTTTATCCGAGAAGAACCAGCTTCTTTCTGTTTCAATGGCATGTTTCACCTCGTTTAGAAGTTTCTTTGTCTTTGTCAGACGCATTTCTCGATCTTTATCTGTAAGATGCTGATCATTTCACCTCTTTTATGACGGATGTTCTCATTCAAGCAAAGGTTCATAGTGGAAATTGTAACACCCATTTCCCGCGCCAAAGTTCACATTCCCTTGCCTGGGTCTTCAATCATTTTCTCCTGTAGTTGTTAGATGAATTCTGGTGTAGGGAGACAATCAGTAGGTCTGCTGTGTTCTTTCCTATAAACCACGACCTCAGAGTCTTCATTGTCCCCTCTCCATTTTAGGTCTTATTGTTTTTATGACGTTGAAAGAACATTGAGCAGATGATTAAGGCATTTTGATGCCCGGCACGAATCCTTATGATACAGGTTACCCTTTTCCAATATTCAGGCGGCTTTCACTCGACCATGTCAGTTAACTAAAGCTCTAAAACTGTAGTGACTAGGTGTCACAATGCCATTCACATTTTGCTGATATTGCAAACCAATCGGAAAAAATTATAAAAACATTAGACTCTACTGAATTTAGCCTGAACACCCTTGTACATTCACTAAAACTATCTTATTTTGGTGCGCGAACAACTGTAGGCGGAGATAGCGATGAGGAAAATCTACATTTAACATTCAAGTTAGCTTTACTTGTATTTGTACTAATCCCCTACCAGCATGAGTTTAGTCTTAAATGATTTTTGAGCACAGATGCTTACAAATTAGAAAAATCTTTTTGCCATTCACTGTTTCCAGATATTCGAAACCAATTTGAAAAAACAAAAACTTTAAACTCTGTCAAATTTAGCCCGAACACCCTGTATATGACCAATTAAGTAATTATTCATATATGACTAGCACAAGCTACACTTGTGACACCTAGTGAGGATCGAATTCAATCCAGTGGAGAAACAGACATTCATGTGAATAAGGCATTACGAGAAAACAACTCGGAGGAAAGTAATTTGTTTTATTTCGAAACTGGCATCCATTCTGAGTTGTATTTATTACAAATCTTAACATTTGATACCGAAAGTAAAACGTAAACAGTTTTAGCGCAACGGCCTGTTGAAGGAGACCTTTTATTCTGTGGATTTAATCCGTCGAAGACACCAATTTCATAAATGATTGAAACCATCCCCATTCTTGCAGAAAATTAAACCCTCAGGAATGGAAAGTTAACTGTTCACTCCAAGATTCTGTGGACAGCCTTACGTTTCCAAGAGGGCAGGCTTTCGTTTTCATTTGACATGTTTTCTTTCTTGTGGAAGAAATGATCTCTTTGCGGACTTGTTCATTTCATCCACAAATCAAAATCTTCGGCCTATTTTTATATTGGCTAACAAACGAAGCTTAAATATTCGTCTTCAAGTTCCATCCACATTTTCTGTCTTTTCTTTGCGCCAAATTCCCGTTAAACTTTGCCAACGCCATTTCACATACGAACGATTCTTGGCGTTGAATCTTGATAGTCCGATTTCAGTCCCACCGTTTTCTTATTTGGCGCGCTTTTATTAAATTGGCGCGAAATGCGAGCGTTCCTTGTCAAAAGCCACTAATCCGCTAACAGATCAAAACTCATTCTTTCCTTTCGATACCGAGTCTTTGTAGGTTTCAGACATAATTGCCATGGAGATAACAGTTAATAATCCTTCGCTGGAATGGACACTGTCCAGCTTTGCCTGAGACACTAATAGTACAGAGATGAAGAAAGGATTGTGACGAATCAGGCTGGTTGTGGCCATAATATTGACCTGTCAAAAGGATGCATCAAGTGGACATCTTGCTAACAGCTGATAAGTATCAGAGAGAGAGAGAGAGATAGAGAAGACGGATGAATCATCTGGACTGTGAGTGTATATGACAAAACATTTTAAAGTATTTCTGAGAAGTGCCTAATTGATACTTAGGCTAGGGGTGCTTCTATTAAGGAATCATCTTAGGATTTGTTAAATACAATAATTGAAAGAAATTAGCGCCACCTCACACTATGGCCTTGTGCCAGATTAAATCCTGCTTAATAAATATCAGAACAGGACACCTAGCATAGAGCAAGCAAATCTCACAAACCATTGTTCTTGTTATAAGTTTGAGCTTCATCGTATACGTAATATTTATTTAAATTTATTTTGACCTCAGTTGAGAAGAGAGAATCTACAACCTTGCACCGTTAATTAATTGTCACTTCTATACTCTTTTCAATGGCTGTCTGGTATTCACCTCACCAAGGCTACAAAGCGGGCCAGTTCTCTGTTAAATAGGAAATTAATTCTCCATCGAAGTATGAATTAATAAACATACGTCAGACAGGAGGAAAGTCGAATAGTTCTATTTTTAGACTGCTCTACAATCCATTTCCTTATACGTACGATAGAACGGAATTTAAGGTGTACACCTAGTTTAATTAGCACACGAACTGATCTTGAATTCAGAGTTTTCCGTCTCCTAGAGTGGTTACTAACCATGGCTAGAGAACGTAATCTGACCTTATATTTAAACCATACTGCTGGTGATGGTTGGAGAAGAGGTGGGTTCAGACATTTCCCAATAGTATTTATACGAAAGCGAATTCTGCCGGAATTTGATCTCGGCTGGCTGAATTCCCTTTCTGAAGTGCTAATCATTACTATCTGTCCAATAATTAAGATCTTATGTAACTAGAAACAGCGGAAATGTAGTCCCCCGGAACGTTTCTGAAAGTTCCAAGGACGGAGCGAGTAGGCAATATAGAAGTCTTAAAGAAAATGGCAACAGAAAGAACTCAGAATCCGGAAGAGAGAGAGTTGAAGTTCTTTGGACACATAATAAGGAAGGAATGTCTTGGAAACCTAACCTTCATGGGGCAAGAGAACTAGTGGGGGGGCAGCGAGCGACTTAGCTGAGATGTAGAGAAAAAGGGGAGACAGAATAAGAAAAAGAAAAGAAAAGAGCCATAAAGAAAACAGAGAGGGAGAAAGAGACTGAAAATTGCCAAGCGCTCCTTTCTCAGAATGGAGTGAGAACGTTAGCAAATAGAGAATAACTGAGACACACGAAAAGTTGTGGAGAGCCATGAACATCTATGTCCTGAAGGAACGCAGCACATAGAAAAAGCCATTATACTAAGATAATCTTATGTATTTACACAGATTTCCTATCATAAGTGATAATTATCAAACAACACTCGAATGTCATTGACAGTTTGCTTTTCAGTAGGGATTCTATTATGGTAAATTTCCTAAAAGATAAAATCGGGCGGCCTTTGTGACTGTCTGATTGTTGACATACTGATCTCACAAGCAATTGAAAGTGAGATTGATCTCTTGATATAGGGCAAGACGGTTTTGCGTACTAAACAGCTGTCGAGCAAACATATTTAAAAATCTGTTCGGATTTCGAAAAAATTGCTTTAATAACACACTCGCGCCTTCTCTCTCTCTCTCTCTCTCTCTCTCTCTGTGTGTGTGTTTTTCTCTCTCAAATACACACACACTTTCTCTCTCTTTCACTCTCTCTCTCTTACCCTCTATTTATGCTTCTTACAGTTTCTTTTTCTCATTCTGTTTCCCTTTTTCTACCCATCTCATTGTCTATCTCTTTTAATCTGATTGTCTTTTTCTCGTACTCTCGAGAGATTTTTTTTATCTTTGTTTTTCATTCTTTCTTTCTTTCTTCTCTTTCTCAACAGTCTTCTTTATTTTCTCTGCCTTCTTCTTTTTCTTTCTCTATTTCTCTTTTCCTATTTTTAACAGTCTCTCTCTCTCTCTCTCTCTCTCTCTCTCTCTTAATTTGATTCTTTCTCGCATAATTTCTCTTTCTATCTTTGCTTCTCGTTCTTTTCTCTCTTTCATTATTTCTTTATTTATTTATTTATATATCTCTGTTTTCTATCACTCTTTTTCTATATGTCTCTTCCTTTATTTCTTCCTCCATCTCTCTCTCTATATATATACATCTTTCTCTCTCTCTCTCCATCTCTCACTCTTTCTCTCTCGATCTTGCTTTTTCAATCATTTTACGTCTTACACTTTCACTCCTACTGCATTTCTTTCTCAATATTTCTAATTCATTCTATTGTTTTTATCATTTCACCGCAAGCAAGGCAATAATGCCACTAAGACGCAAGGGGATACTGAATGTGAAATAATATGAGAAAAAGAAAACACTATTAAGGATAGACAACAATAAAAGAACAGGAAGTCAGAAGACAGAAGATAACGATTGAGTTTGCATTTAAATTTTCGAAGATCAAAGTTGACTGTAAAGTAAGAAGCCAAAAGAAAGGAAAAAGTTCTTAGCATAGAACATACGGTTACATCCAGCCATTGAAACTGTAAAATGATGTGATGTAACTGACAATCTAGTATTGCATTTAAATTCATAAAAAAAATTTAATTTAATTTCATAAAATCTAGATACCATAGAAAGAAAGTTCATGAGAACAATTGCCATGGAATTATTTACAAAAGGCACAGAGAATCTGCGCTACGATAGTGAGAAAGTGACTGAAGTCGGGATGCCAGGTCAGGACCAATGACATTGCAGATTCTTCTTTAAATTTTATCAAGAATCTCTAAATTCATAGCAGAAGCGACAAACCAGATATGACAACAATATTCAATGTATGGATGAATAGGAGAATGTCTCTGTTGTCTCCCCGGCTTTCGTTGCCTCTTTTTGGTTTCTATCTCCATTTTTCTTTTTCTTTCATTTTCTTTCCATTTCTGTCTTTTCTTTTTCTTTTTTTAAATCCAATTTTCTTTCCATCTCTCATTCTCAGTCCCTCTTAATTCTCTTTCTCTTTCCTCTGATCTCTTCTCAATCTCTCTTTCCAGCAGTATCTTTCACTCTTTCTCAATCTTTTCATTCTCTTCCTAAATATTTTCTTTTCATTTCTTCTCTCTCTCTCTTTTTCTCCATTCTCTCCCTATATATCTTTTACATTCTATTTCCCTTGCCCTCTTTTTCTCTTTTCTTAGCTTTTTCGTTTGCTCCACTTCACCCAATCAATCTTCTTTTTATCGCTCTCATTTCATCTCTCACACAATTCCACTATTTCTCCTTCATTCACTTCCTCTTTATGTCTCTCTCTCTCTCTCTCTCTCTCTCTCTCTCTGCCTCCCTTTGCGCTTTCTATTTCTCTCTTATCTTTCTTCTTTGCTATTTTATTTTTTTATGTGTGTGTGTGTTTGATTATGACGAAAAAGCAATGAAAAAGCAATGACAACCAATCCAGGTTGGTTTCCTGATCGATTAAAGTAAGATCGATTATCGATTTTTAATTTATCTTGAAAACAGTCAAAAAACGACTGGCAGGAAATCCAAGAAAACTGCAATGACACTTTTTTTTTTAAATCAAGAACACATGATTCTTTAAAAATTCAGCAATTTTCAAAAAAACTAGGGTATCCGGTAGAATTTGCGCGTGTCTGTGAGAAAGCGAGCATTATTAAAATTAGTCACATAATTTTATTACGTTTCTTCTTCCAAAACAAATCAATTATTAAAGAATAAAAGACTAGCAGATGAATATTCGATGCTTGTGTAGAGGGATTGGCATCACTTGTTTCAAACGGGCACGTAACCTTGACCCATAGTGACTTAACGGATTCACATCAAAGAACTGTCTTCCAATCATAGCAGCTTAAAAGGACTTTGTATATACCAGGCTAAAACAATCTTTCCCTTTTTACCTAGAAATATACCATATTTTCAGAATATAAGACGCACTATATGTTTTGTTTTATTTTATACTTTAAAAATGGGTATATATTGTTCTAAACACAAAAGACGTTAAGTTATTGATGTTACATTATTTAAATGAATTACGTCGTCGCTATATCATTTTTCCGACGGATCCATCAATCGCATGTTCATTTGCATAATTATTGATACTTTTTTTTAATTTAGCTGGGTATGACAGTCTTATATTTATACTTTGTAAGTGGTGAAAAAGAAATAGCAAAAAATTTAAAAAATACTATTTTGTTTTCGAGGACTAAGGTATGGTACTAGAACAATATATACCAATTTTTAAAGTAACAGTTTAAATTTGTGTTCAATTAAATCTTTCAAATATGAATGAAGCTAATCCCCCACCCACCACCTAAAAAATGGTACGGGACTCTAACTTTCCATGAAGCATCCAATTTGACAGTAAGCACGTGCCAGACTGCAGAATATCCAATGAAAATTAAAATACCACTGAGACGATAACTGACGCTAACTGCATTATTGGTCAAGTACATTGCATATTTGAAATCCATACTATTGTTGTAAATAAGATATTTATGACTTAAATGAATTTATACATGACTTACGTATATATGTGTGTATGTAGATAGAAAGAAAGAAATAAAGAGACTGAAATAGATGAACGGAAACAGACTGAGATAAATAGATACATATAGAGAGAGAAATAGAAAATTTTTCTTCATTTCATGACTTCAGGAATAATACAAGAGCCAGGAGTTGATATGTTACAAAGACAGGTAGCCATTATGCCAAAGTATGTATGTATAGATAGATAGATAGATAGATAGATAGATAGATAGATAGATAGATAAGTGGATGCATGCAAACTGAAATAGATAGATGGTGGCTGATATAGTTGCTTACTTCCCTTCTATTACCTGTAATCAATGTTTTAATTTAAGATTTCAAGCAATCGTATTCTCCCTATCATTTTTCCTTATTAGCCATATGACAAATTCCATTACTACTCTGGTGTATGTGTATTGATAAAATCCATAGAAGAATCAGCAATATTACTGGTCCTGATCTGGAAGCTCGTCTTATGTCACTTTCCCACCACCGTAAGTCAGCCTCTCTGTGTCTTTTCTATAAATACTTTCGTGGTAATTGTTCGAATGAGCTCTTCGCTATGGTACCTAGACATTTTGAATTCAATCGCCTTACTAGACTGGCGTCGAGATCTCATCTATTTACAGTTGAGCAGACAAGATGTAACCGTAAATTCTATGCCAACAGTTTCTTTTACACTTCTTACTTGTGAAACTACCCTCCAGATCCTTGCTTTCCAGCCAACTTTAATCTGAAAAAATTTAAATGCAACGTCAATCGCTATCTACTGTCCTCCCTATTACCCTTCCTGCTCATTATTAATGTTTCTGTTCTTAATTCTTCCACATCCTGTAAATATATGTGTCTTAGTGGCTTTATTGCCTTGCATGGGGTGATACCGATTAAAAAATAGTTCCAAAATTGGCGGAAAACATGCGCGTTATTAATTCATCAAATGATATATTCATGAAAGCCGATACAATCTGCGATCATTTCAAAATGAATTCTACCTTGATCAGAAATTGTAAAATAATGTGTAGCAAAGGAGTCAAATTCAATATGGAGTGTAAGGGACGCAACTCTTTCCGTAGGAAAATGTCTGACACGACGCTACGCAAAGCAAAGCAATGTAAACCGAACACGGGTGTAATGGCTTCTGCCAATTTCTCCAAGCGACCTGCTTTTATGGAGCCCAGACACACCTCATTAGCATGCGTGTAACGCGACTTTGCGTGCCTGCACGAGACGGTGAATATTAAAAAGTCACGGACGCCATCTTGGACCCTTTCTTTCTTTTCTCAACCCACAGGCCAGACAGACACGAGGGCGTTTGGGAGGTAAGCCATTTCTATTTCTATTTTCCCCACATAATGAAATAACAGAACTTTACAAAAACGCGCCAAAAATGTATGAAGGATAAATTAATATGGTGACCAAAAAATTAAAAATAGACAATCTAATTGAACATTTTCGCAAGAAGACGGTATTCATTGTGTCTAAAGGGCATAAAAATGGTTTCATAAATAAACCCACACGCTGATAACAAAGACGGGAAAATATGTAGTATTATCTTAGAAAATACATGTGCTTTCTTAAGGATAGTTTAAATATCAGTTAGTAATGGAGTAGCATCGAAAATGTTCCTCAAATAGTCTACAGATCGCCATCAGTTGCTTCGTTGCGTTTTCCTTGAATTCATTCCTGGTCGAAAATCTGCTTCCTTTTTAAAGACAACTTAGGGTTTAGAAAAAACGAAAATCGTAAGGAGCCAAATGCTATGTTTTGAAAAAAAAATATCAAAGAAATGCTAGTCGAAATATTCAAAAAAGATGAGTGGAATCCCCAGATTTTCTTCAAATTCTTGCAATCAGCCATTGATTTTTTGGATTGCACGCGTTCAATACTTTTGTGCGTTCCGCTTGTTGAAAAACTTTTAGAATGCACATTGCTTTCAACAGATATCCAGGCAGGTTTGAAGCGGTCGTACCAAAATTTTGTCTCGGCTTCGATCACTATATCATCCCGGAAAGACTTCTTCGTCATTCGAATCGCTTCGGTAGAACTTACAAGGAACCCGTATGCATTGTCATTGTGCAGCCGACCGTCACACGACACATATGTTCTCTCAGTAGCGCCCACTCTTCACCGCGAAAGGAGAGAGTCTGTTAGCGTATGCACTCTAAGTTTATTTTAGCTTGGTTGACTCGTTACCCCATGGCCACGCAACCGGTTCTCGAGATATTTAAAATGGTTGCATTTGTTGTCAGCTGACAGACCTGTGGTTGGAAACAAAATCTTCAATAAATGCTCGAGGCGGATTCCGTAATCGACAACTCACTTCTTGCCAACCGACAAGTGGCATTTGTACAGCAATGCGTTAAGAGATGGAAATAGAGGGAGAGTTTTGATGCTGAGAAAGAGGGAGACGCTGTTTTTTTTTTCTTCGAAAGAAATCACGTCTTTACTGATTGGCTAAAAAAATCAAATGAAGACGCTTTCAAGTTTACTTTTCATTCCATTTTTCTTTCATTTTTACTGATTTATTTTTCTTTGTTTTACTTTCTTTTGCTTTCTTTTGCTTTTTTCTTTCTTTCTTTTACTTTCTTTTTCTTTTTTCTTTCTTTCTTTCTTTTACTTTCTTTTTCTTTCTTTTTATTCTACTTTCTTTTTGCATATTTTTCTTTCTTTCTTTCTTTAATTTTTCTTTTACGTCCTTTCTTTTTCTTTCTTTTACTTTTTATTTGATTTTATTTCTTTTTTAT